GGGGGCTCCGAACCGCGGCGTAGTCCTCACGGCGACCCCGTCCCCACCCTGCCCGGTGCTCTGGAAAAGCCTGGAGCTGTCACCCGGGGCTGCAAAGCAGACGCCCCCTGCGCCCCCGCCGGCGCGACACGGAGTAAGTTTGGATCCTGTTGGCCACTCTTTGGAAACTAAGGCTGCTCCTGTAATTAGTGTCGCTGGCAGGACCTAGGAGTCAGGTTGCAGTTCGGTGTGCCCGGCCCGAGGTCTGAGGTGAGGGGTCAGCCAGAGAGGCCATCCAGCTGCCGGCGAGGTGGGGAGGGCGCTGACCACAGTACTAACCCGCGGGGTAGACGCTGCTCTGCGAAGAGGGGCTTGAAGAGCACCGGGTCTAGATGTGTGCGCCCCAGACTCCGAGCTGTGGGAAGGCCGAGATGAGTGGGACCACTGGCTCTTAACCTATTTACGTTCCAAAGACTTTTAGCGGCTGATGCAACAGGAGGCATACCTTAAGGGGTTCACGGTCCCATCTCCAAAGTCAGGGACCCCTCGTGAAGAACCCTTGATACTGCCCAAGCCTGCCTTCGCCCAGAGGAGAGTGAGGCTCAGGAAGGTGAGGGCTTTGTGGGGTTTTGTTTTGTTTTCCCCCAAATCTGGCTTGTGTAGGTGAGACAGGTAGCAGGTCCGGGCAGCTTCAGGTTAGGATCCCAACTATGGGGATAATCAGCCAGGGCCCCTTCCACTGCCACATGCGCTGCTTTAAGCACAGTCCTCCCTGCCGTCCACCACCCACCTGGAGTGGCTTCCTGGAAGAAGAGAAATAGGCCAATCTTCATTTGCCACAAGTTACACCATCTGCACCACCTCATCCTTTGGGTCAGCGCCCCTAAATGTGGCCTCGGGTTTTTGTGCCCCTCAGGCCACCTTCATTTTCCTTCCCCAATGTAGAGAGAGAAACCTTAAGAGGAGGATTCTTGCTCTGTAACTGTAGTATATGTATCCGAATTGATCAGATTTCTGATCATTCATACACATGTTGACGCCTTCAGAGCAGGGGTTACAAACAAGCTGGGTTGACCAGATGCTCAGTCTTTGAAGCGGTTTGTTTCTCATTTTGTCACTCTGACATTGAATGTCATTCTGGTAAAGGGCCACGTCAATCCTTGAAAAGTCTTCAGAGTATCCCGTTTGTAAACCAAAGAGGAATATTTAGGCGGTGCTTGTCAAAATGACAAACCTGTGTAAATGTGTGCACCTGAAAATCTTGTGGAGTCTTTTAACTTCAAAGGCAGTTCTGACAGCAAGATTTAATGTTGTCAGGTGATGAGATAATCTGAAAACAAGATTGCCATAAAAACACTATAACCCAGGACTGTTGTCATTGAATTTGGGATAGTACCATTCGGCCTCTTGATCTAACTGGTTACCCCAGCAAAGTTCATTTTCAAATTAAGGTTTAAACTGTTACCTGTTTTTCTTACATTCTTAGATGACCTTAACGGAGAGCATGTAACTGTCCTCATACGTCTGTTTACTTTCTTTGGGGACAATACGTAACTTAGGTGTGAGAAGAAGTTGTTTGGGCCTGTGCCTGACAACCTTCGGAAAGGAGCAGATGTAAACACACTCCTCCATCACCTTGTCCTCGGGGTTGCCTACAGCTGCCTTCAAGCCAGGGGAGCTTTTTACTATGGCAGGGATTCTGTTTCAGTGGGGCTGGGGTGAGGCTTGGAAGTAGAATTTTAAGTTGACTAAATGACTCTTAATTTCCGACCAGGGTTGTGACCAGAGAAGCCTGAAAACTTTTCCATTTTCTTTTAAGTCAACAAGTTACACGGAGGCCACTTACTTATTTTTGAATTATTTAGATTTGCCAAATTATGTATTTTTATTTATTTATTTATTTATTTATTTATTTATTTATTTATTTATTTAAATTTGGCCACAGGGGGACAGAGTAAAAGAGAGAGAAGGAAAGTGAGCAAGCAAGTCGCCAGTTCTGGGGTTCAAACCATGGTTGGCCATCTGGGAGTCCAGCACCCTTAACCACCACTCTACCTGCTGGCCCCAAGATTTGCCAAATTATTATCTCTGCTTGGAGTGGGATATGAACATGGAAACAGTGCACAGAAGCTAGTGCTCCTTGGAATTGTGTTACTCTCGTGTTCATCTCCATTGACAGAGAGTTTATATGATAATTCAGTGAGAGACTATGGTTTGCCTGAATAGAACCAGTCCTTACCCTTAAAACAGATAATCAAGTTGGGCTAGGCCTTGTAATATCTGACCTGTCCCAACAAGGAAACTTAAGCCTTAAGTGTTTATAGGCAAGAAAATGTATGCATGGGTTTAAGAGAGAAGATCTTCAGTGCCAGTGGTGTATAATTCTATTTTAAAAGACTTAAAATATCATGTTAAAATATTCCTGGAGAAAAATTAACATGTTTAGGTTGGAGAAGATCCTTGAAATACAGACAGAGAGATGTTTTCTGTTCTCGGTCTCATTCTGTTCTGTCTGAGGGTGGAGGTTCTGTGTATAGGTTTGGTTTCTTTTAAGAAAAACCATTTTATTTGAACTTGAATTCTAAAATTTCAGAAGCCAGACTCTAAGGCTAGCCACAGCAAGGCATGTATTTTGTGGTGTATAACTTGGAAGTCTTCTAAAGCTTCTTTCTCAAGGGCCCAGTGGGTGTGTGCCGTTTCTGCACTGTCGGAGCACACAGGTAGAGAGCAGAATGTGTAACAGTGCAACAGCTGCCAGCTCCAACGCTGTCTCTTCAGCTGTGGACCCAGGACAGGAGGAGGTGGAGGGAAGTGACGGGAACGGCACCTTTGACAAAGATCGGGATGTGGAATGCCCCTGACAGACTGCACAGCGTCAGACTCCGGTCCCAATTTGTGGAGTGATTTGTGAGCAAAGGTGTCTAACTGACATGAGGCTCTTGACATGTATCATCTGGTGTTCACATTTATCAGAAAAGGGCATTTTAAAAACACATGCATTATTAGGCATGCTTTTAGAGCCCTTACTCATTTTATAGCTGAGTAAAGCATTGTAAATTCCTAGATTGGAATGATAATCCTCGTTTTTCTACAAATGGCAAGTGTAGGCACACCCTTCAGCTCTGCCGTGCTCTTACCCTATGAGGCGCAGTTGCGTTTTCTTCTTATCCTCTCCTTGTTTTGTGCTAGTTTCGAAGAAGGGTCCATTTCTCAGTGTGTAGCATATCTTTTAGAGTGTTCTTTACCTAACCTCCATTTTGCTGTGAATGATCTTGGAGTGAGTTTGAAAGCAGCTTCTGCAGCTAAGAAAGGATACTGAGACATCGGAAGTGGCTAAACCAAAGTTTAAGGCTCACACAGATTGTCGTTAGTAGATTGGCTACTTGATGTCCTGCAGAAAGCACAAGTTTTCTGGTTCAGATCACGCTAAGTAGGGATTTGAAGGCAATTACATGCAAAGCATTTCAGAATCAGAGGGTAGACTACTCAACCTTTGCCTTTGAGAGGTCTATGCTTTCAATGGGAAGATAAATAGGAACCATGGAAACTTCAATAAAGATTTGATTGATGGCTCAGAAATGACACAGTAGAGATTTGTGTTTCCCATATTATGCTCTTTCTAGTGATGTTAGACTCTTGAGTCTTTCTGTAAAGTTCTTTCATAGTCTTTTTTTTTTTTTTCCTCACCATGTATTTATCCAAAGTCTCTCTTATACCGGGTGTGAGCAAGACAGCCGAGGTCCCATGGCTGTAGGAGCTCACAGGCTAGTGGGGAAGTCAGATCAATAACAAACAACCATGTATCATATTTACATACTGTTTTCCAGAAAAGAACACTTTCTTCCTAATGCTGAGTCCACCAGTAAGGTGGTATAAGATATAATGATCTGAGAGAATTTTTCACTTGCCATCTTGACAAGTGTTTCTTAAAGATTTCTGTCACCATCTGGCAAGATTTGTACTTCTTGACTTACATGTGAGGGCTGCTGCTTCTGTGAGCCAAAGGAAATGCATTTTATAGGGTGAAACAGCATTTTTAACGACCCACATTTAATTTGTTAGCCTCATCTGTGGCTTTCTGTAACCGATGGGGAAAATGGAACAGAGCCAGTGAGTGGCTGTGCTCAGGAGGTAAGGTTTGTGATCTGTTAGCCATGGACACCGTTCTTTTTCCCCCCCCTCAATTTCCGAATGAAAATGTAAATGTACTTTAGAAGCAAGGACTAACCAGAATTTAATCTTTTTCAGAAGCCAAGAAGAAAGCACCCTGTCCTGGACTTGGCTTGTTTTACACATTATTTTCTGCCTTCCTTCTCTCAGTGGCCTCTTTATTGGTTAAAAAAGTACAAGACGTCCATGCTGTAGAAATTAGTGCGTTTCGATGTGTGTTCCAAATGCTAGTTGTTATCCCTTGCATAATATATAAAAAGTAAGTACTTCTTAACTATAAAGTAAGATATTAATAAATGGAAATATTTTGACTTGCCTAAATTATTTCTCTCTAGAATCTGCTCTATCCATCTCCTAGATTTCCCAGTTCCTTTACTCCGTGGCTCCGATTAATGAAAAGTGACAAGGACCCACTCACAGAAGATTCTACCCCAAGCAAGAACCTCCTGCCTGACAAAGGGGGAGGAAGCGATTTAGTTACTCATCAACCTCCATTTTGGAAGGAGTTTTCCTTGTTTATTCCTACTGTATAGAACCACCCTCCTTTCTTTTGGCATAGCTAGTATTTGGAAGAAAAGAAATAAATGAAGTAGTGGTATTTAGGTCTTCCCCAGGAAAAGATAGGGTGAGGAGACAGAGGGAAAGTGAGAACTCAACCCTCAGTGGGAAAGGCCACACTGCAGTCTCTTCTCCATTCTTCTCACAAGATTTTGAGCACACTAGCACACACACCCAGCATGATTTTTCAAGCCACCAGGCCCAGGACTCAAATTGTAGTCAGCCATGTGGGAGTCCAGTGCCTTAACCACCATACCACCTGCTGACCCCAACAAGGCCTTTTAAACTTTCATATATGGTTTCCCCATCTGTAAACTGGAAGGAGTGGTACTGTCTATCCTCTATCCTACAAGGTGGTTACAAGGGTCACAGGAGATTTATTATAGGCCAGAGCTCTTCAGGGAGAAGGTAATAGTATATGAAAATGATCTCTATCCTCCCCTACTCTTCTTGCCCTCCTATTCTCCCAGCCCCTCTTCTCCTTCCCTATAAGGACTCCTCACCCTTCCCAGGGTAGAATTATGCCTCCCCTATCATTTTAACCTCTGTACACCCCAGTGTGGTTAGAGCCCTGGGAGGAAGACCAGTTAAGTCCCTGGTAGCTGCCTGGCTTTTCTCTCTGGGCAAAGATGCTTAAATCCCGTGTCTGTTAGAGCTTACAGGCTAGCAGGGGAGTCAGATCATCCACAGATAACCGTATTACCATATCTACAAACTGTTTCCCAGAAAAGCATGCTTTTTTCATAAAGCTTTAGTGACTTGCCACCAAAGTCTCCTTGTATCTCATAACAGTGCAGATTCACTTAGAGTAGTATCACCCTGTATCCCCGGGATTTGGTGGAAAAGTGGAAATCTGCTAAGATTCATATTATCATAAATTTCTATGTAAGTATGAACAAGTCACAGTATTTTAGAAAATCATGGTAAGACTTCCACAAATTCTAAGGGTAGCCACAGAACACTGATGCAAACACAGTCATCTTCCCCATTTTGGAATAAAAATATTACCAGGGAAGGACCCTAGAGGTATTTTCTTTTTTTACAGAGATTTTTGCAATAGGGTACATGTGTTCACCAGAGAGACAGAGAAACAGAAAGCTAGAAATCACCACTCAGGGCAGATGGCCACGCCGCAATCGCTTCTCCTTCACTCTCCTCTCAGGATTTTGGGCATGCACACACACATGCCCTGTGTGAGTTTTAAGCCACTGGGTCCAGTACTCCAACCACAGTGAATTATGTGGGAGTCCACTACATCATCTGCTGTTCCCAGCAGTATTTTCTTAAAAACTTTGGCCCTAATCTGTTTTGACCCATCTTATATTTCACTATCTTGGAAGATTCTTCACTGCTCAGAATATGGGCTGAAGGTGACCACGCCTTCATTTCTACTCCAGATATCCGGGGTACCCTCATCAGAGCTAGATGATACCCTAGGAAGTCTGGCCCTGGCTCAGATCAGCAAGTTGTACCTGGCCAGAAACTTAAAGAGAGTAGGTGCTTAGTCCACATTCAATTGGAACAAATTTGAATAGTGGTAAATATACTTACCTAAACACTCAATGTTCATTTTCAGTGTGTTTGAATTCTTTCTGTAATGAGAATAATGAAGAGTCTCAAATTCAGTGGCAAAAATAAATTTTAGCTTTGCTTCAACTTTTATAGAAAACCTCAGGAGATTGAGAATGCACATTTTCCAGGATCAGGGTTTCTAGTAGAGAGCAGCTAAACCTTGAATTCAATTTATTATAATAATGACACATTTTTATTATAGAGAACTTGTGGAAAATAAATATAAAGAAAAGACTACCTATAGCCTCCCTATTAAGGTATAATCATTATTCACATTTAACTTAAGTCTTTTTTTTTGCAAGCATGCGTAAGTAAGGGAAATAGTGTCTATCTTTACTGAATTATAGTTATACTCTAAGTAGTTCTCTTGTACTGTTTTGCTTATTCTGTGAACACTTAAATATCATTAGTTCTATTTAGAAAACATTTTTAAAAGGTGTATTCTGTTGTGGGTATTATAACTAATTTATTATGTCCTTATGTCCTGCTATTTAGTACTTTCAAATAAAGTGATGTTTAATTATAAATTGTAATTTAAAAACAAATACGAAGTTCATTTAATATGCATTTTTTTTATTTGAATTTACAGAACTGGGTTTCTAGGCCCCAAAGGTCAACGAATTTTCCTCTTCCTCAGAGGACTCATTGGTTCTACTGCCATGATCCTTATATACTATTCTTTCCAGACAATGTCCCTCGCGGATGCCACAGTTATCACATTTAGCAGTCCAGTGTTTACGTCTATATTTGCTTGTATATTTCTCAAGGAAAAATATAGCCCTTGGGATGCTCTTTTCACCCTGTTTGCCATCACCGGAGTGATCCTTATTGTGAGACCACCATTTTTGTTTGGTTCCGACACTTCGGAGATGGAAGAAAGCTATTCAGACCGCCTTAAGGGGACGTTCGCAGCCGTTGGACATGCCGTGCTTGCTGCGCTGACTCTAGTTCTCCTAAGGAAAATCGGAAAATCCGTGGACTACATTTTAAGCATTTGGTATTATGTAGTAATTGGCTTACTTCAAAGCTCCATTGTCCTCTCTATATTAGGAGAATGGAGTCTGCCTTACTGTGGGTTGGACAGACTATTTCTTATCCTCATCGGGCTCTTCGGTTTGGGAGGCCAGATATTTCTCACGAAAGCACTTCAAATAGAAAAAGTAGGGCCAGTTGCCATCATGAGGACGATGGATGTGGTCTTTGCTTTTATCTTTCAGATTTTTGTATTTAATCATGTGCCAACATGGTGGACAGTGAGTGGTGCCCTCTGTGTCGTGGCCAGTAGTATTGGGGTGGCCGTTCGGAAGTGGTACCAGGGTTCCAAGTGAAGCATCATTGTGGAAAACATATTTTTTCAAGTACACCAAAAATCCAGTTCATACACACACACACACACACTATTGTGAGACCACCATTTTTGTTTGGTTCCGACACTTCGGAGATGGAAGAAAGCTATTCAGACCGCCTTAAGGGGACGTTCGCAGCCGTTGGACATGCCGTGCTTGCTGCGCTGACTCTAGTTCTCCTAAGGAAAATCGGAAAATCCGTGGACTACATTTTAAGCATTTGGTATTATGTAGTAATTGGCTTACTTCAAAGCTCCATTGTCCTCTCTATATTAGGAGAATGGAGTCTGCCTTACTGTGGGTTGGACAGACTATTTCTTATCCTCATCGGGCTCTTCGGTTTGGGAGGCCAGATATTTCTCACGAAAGCACTTCAAATAGAAAAAGTAGGGCCAGTTGCCATCATGAGGACGATGGATGTGGTCTTTGCTTTTATCTTTCAGATTTTTGTATTTAATCATGTGCCAACATGGTGGACAGTGAGTGGTGCCCTCTGTGTCGTGGCCAGTAGTATTGGGGTGGCCGTTCGGAAGTGGTACCAGGGTTCCAAGTGAAGCATCATTGTGGAAAACATATTTTTTCAAGTACACCAAAAATCCAGTTCATACACACACACACACACACACACACACACACACACACACACCCCTGGAAAATCTGCATTTATTTTATTGATTATATTTAATAAATTTCATAAATGAAGTACCATTTTTTAATATGGTATGTCTTTAATTAAGAATACCTAGTCTGGGCTAGTAGGTTTTTTTTTTTGTAGCTTTTTATGTTCTTTTTTGTTGAGGTGATGATGAGAGGAGAGCTTATTATTTGAAGAAAAACTGCAGAAGGTTTTATGACTCCTAGTAATATATGCAATCTTCTGAGTGTCTTTTTGGTACTGATGGACTTTGGGTGAGGAGGAAAGTTTAGATGTTCTTTTAGCAGTGTAGAGCTTCAGAAACTTCCTGATAATGCTGCTGTAATTAGTATTATGTTGATAATTCCTTGGCAACATAAACCCATTTTGGAGGCCAAAGCTAAAATGTAAAATAGGTGCCTACTTAACAGTGTTAATAATACAAATGAATTGCCCTTATTTTCAAGGATTTTATAAATGATAAGACTTTTAACTCATATTTGTGCCTTTTCACTTTTTTTTCTTTGTAAGGTTTTTAACCATAGAATACATGTGCTTGCTAGAGAGAAATAGAGAGAGGGAAAGTGAGAAATCACCCCCCGAGGGGATGGCCATGCCACAATCCCTTCTCTTCCATTCTCCTTTCAGGATTTTGGGCCCACATGCACACATGCCCGGTGTGATTTTCAAATGGTTGGGTCCAGGAAGCAAACCATGGTCGGCCATGTGGAAATACAGTGCCTTAACCACCATGCCACCTGCTGGCCCTGTGCCTTTTCATTTTTATGCTGGAATTTGTATATGTAATGTCTAAAAAAGTTTGTAAATTGCCAAATTTGGCAAGTAGTTTTCTGTTTCATTGTCATTAGCTATTATTGTATAGTTTTAATTGTCCTCTATTTTTTGAAACTGCACTACATTTTTCTTAACAGTCCAAGATTTCAGATCTTTAAATCATAAGAGAGAAATCTTGGCATGGCCAGTGTACAAATTTCCATCCTGAAGTGTTTTCATGAAAAAAAAAAGTAATTTTCTATAAATTCTTTTTGAATTTATAGTGTGATGCCAAATAAAATTTTCTCAGGATCTTTTTAGGTCGAACCATATGAAATTGCCAAGATTTTACTATTTTATCTTTAAAAATCCTCATTTCATATGAATCACCCTGATAGATACCTCCCTTACCCTGTAAATAAAACACTTAGAGAACTTTGGAGTATGTGTTTTTTTTTTTCTTT